CACACGGGAGGGCTGTAAAATCTCGCACATTAGGTTACGGCGGAGGATCCTCCAAGTGGCACCATAGGCGGCGGAGCTGATTGTGCGCTGGTTGCTTGTCAGGATCTTACTCGTCGACACGGCTCTCGGGCGGTCGGAGAAGACGGCGCCGTTTTTGACAAGAGCATGGTGAGCGAGGGAGTGACAGCCGATAAATATTAACCTGATACGAGGGCCAATTCTGATGGTGATGAAGGGACCGTACTTGGTCTTGAGCTCGCGGAGGATGAGTTCCAGCTCAGAAAGAGACCTGCGCAGCCATACCAAGTTTCCGATTAACGGTACCGATAGGGGTCCCGGCGGGAGCTTCTTCTTGCCGGCGCCGCCGATTGATGAAAACAGCGATTTGAGAAGCGGTAGGATGCATAATAGGGAGACAACGAAGATAAACCAGGAAGACTCCATTTGTTAATCTCTCTATACGAAAATCAGTTTGGACGCTGAAGTAGATAGAGATAATGCTTGCTCATATCAAGTAATTTTAAAATGGATAAATTTAGTCAAACGTCCCGTACCTTTAAAGTCATTTGTACTTTTGTCCCTAGTTTTTTTTTTTTTAACAATTGTTTTTTTCAACCTCCTAAATTTGGTAACATTTCATCAATTTTTCCATTAAGTCAATCAATTTGATTAGGACATCTAAAAATTTAAAAAAAAAAAAATTATCATTCTATTATATTTAATTAAAATATTAAATAAATAAATAAATATTTCTTAAAAAACCAAAAAATCATCTTCTCCACAACACCACCAATGCGACTATAATACCCTCTAAAGTTAGTAGAACAAAAAAAGATTTCTCTAGGACTGTTCGTGGGTCGGTTCGGTTCAATTCTGAAAAAACTCGAACCGCCAAAATTTTCGGGTATTTAATAAATGGACCAGTCGGGTCCAAATATAATTATGGAACCGTTCGGGTTCGGTTCGGGTCGGTTCCGTTCCGTACTATAATCAAATTTTTTAATATTTACAGAACACTACATAAATAGAACCAATGACATTTCATTTGTAACTTTTA